TATTACAAACGGGAAATTGACAGCCCAATCGGGTGTTGGGGCATCAATTTCCCGTTTGTAATACAAAATGACTGAAAATTGCAAACTTCGCAAGGCTATATTATCCGCATTTTACAACATTTCGCAACGAAACTTTGGAATACTACTAATTTTGTGATGCTCTTTCAAGCTGTGATGAAATTTTTGTCTAGATCAAAATTTAGTCTATAATGCAAATGGTCCATTGCATACATGCCTAAAATATCCAATCCAGGTTTTACCCATTTTGCGTTTTTTTGCCTCAGATAGCAAGAGATTGTTCTCCTTCACATTGGATATTATTGCCAAGTCCCCACTAATGTTTTGGCATGAAACACGCGCGACTTTCCATGTAGCTGCTACATTTGAGAAAAACTTGTAGCATTTATTATCGATATTTTTCCAACCCAACGGACATACATCTAGAAGACGCAAAAAAAAACACATTAAAAGTAATAATAAATCATGCTCATAGAGAGGCGTAGATGTGGCAATATAACGTTCTTAAACGATGTAAAGCTAAGTGCATTCTTGGTAAATTCGGCTAATAATTTTTTTTTGCTCTGCAAAAGTATATATAGTTGTTTTTCACAGATACAAAGGAAACCGGCAACGCGCGGAGCACCGTTTCGAGCGTGTTACCGGGGCGAGGTTACCGGGCTTTGATTTAATGCAAAATTTAACCTGAATCAATTCGTGCAATGTTTAGAAATGTTCAATCAGCTATTGAAATTGTTTTTGCCTATTAATTGTTTTTTTTACTGAAATTGTTGGGTAATTTCAGCTCGGAATTAAATTTGGTTTGCTCTCCTTCGTATTTTATGTTTATTCTTCAGTCTAATTCAACTTACACACAGCCTTCATTGCAAAGGAAAGCAGTTCATGTTTTAGGCAAAAATTAATTTAAAGCAACAAAAGTACAAAATTCGTAAACATTATTCATCAAACATCCAAAGCAAACTTGCCCTTTAATTCACGTTTTGTCAAAGTAAATAAATTCTTCGTATTTCTTCAATCAAAAATTGTTTCCAAGCTCGCTGTATGGAACAATTTTCCAAATATATGTTTTTGAAAATTGAAATCTTGCTTATCTCACTCCTGCCAAACAACCATATTGTTGAGATCAGTGGGACCAACCTATCAACCATAATCACGCGCCCGCGATTATTGATGAACGTTAGACTTTGCTAAAGCTTTCCTTTCCCCGGGTAGAATTAGTTTCAGGCAGAATTAGTTCCCTTGCCCCCGGGCTAAAGCACGGTTTCGCGCCGTTAGTTCGGTATCAACAAGCTGTGAAGCAATTTTTGTTTGACGAAATGAGAAGAATTAATTTACCATGGGAAATTATGAAATATAGGGCGACTACTATACTTCATGTTCAATTAATGTTGGAAGATATATGCGAGGGGTTGGTGCATGCATGTATTTCTAGTTACATGCTTATTTGGAACAACTTGATATAGACAGTAAATAAACATTAGCAATTTAGTTGATTAACAAAATGTTAGTTTAAAATTTCGTTTCCATGTGAAGGAAATTAAGGCAAGGACGAAAAATATCACGGACGGAAATACAATATACAATCGAAAAACATTATTGAAACCGCTGACCAAGTCAACAGAAGCTGATTTCCACGAGGAGCGTGTATACAAAATATAGAGTTCAGGAATTTTAAAAGCTATTCACAAAAAAATTATAAAGTATATAATACAATATATAATGTATAACTAGAAAATATATGCGTGCAGAAACCCTCGCCTTGCTGACAAAACCATTGCATTTTCCGAACATAAAGTTTCTAAAGTAGTTGTCAAGGTAACACGATAATTTTTTAAGAACAATCTTACAAATAAAAAATTGGCTAAAAATATCACTTTTAATCACAAAATGATTAATTTCCCAGCATTTATATGTTAGGTATGTTATTATACGTATTATAAGCATCAATTTAAGGTAAACTTTAACCACAAGCGCTTCGCAAAACGCTTTCAAAGTGTTCTTTTAATATAAAACTAAACTGCCTTTACTTTAATTAAATGGCTTTATCGATAAACTTTGAGTTTGCAATAAAATGATTTCAAACAACCTCGTTCCCAGGGTTTCAGTGTGAGGACGAGGCGAGACACGAGGAAGCCCTGGTCTGGGCCGGTCACGTGACGACAAAAAATGGCAGTATTTGACAGCTACTCGTCAAGGAGTGGCGAGATATCCTTTAATGAAATACTCAAGTCTTCGAAACAAATAAATAGCCAAAAGACTTCTCAATCGATATATTATTTATGTGTAGAGCGAAGTTTGGCACGAATCAGCTAAAATCTATGAATATCCCGTCTATGTTTTCTAAGATATACCGATATTTCTGGAGATTTTCAACTATAGGCAAAGCTGCATCCAAGCTGCATCTAGGCGTCTCCATGCAAGTGGTGATTCACACAAAATTTCCTTTCTCTCGTCTTGAACAATATGGCTATTGGTATAATTAATATTTAGTTTAAATATGCTCTTATAAATCTGACTTAGTTCAGTATAAATAAACACAAATATAAACCTTGCGTAACCTGTTTACGCTGTACAGGAATATACGGATTCGCTTGTTTCGTCAGACACCAACACTTGCCGTTCATGAGCAATGCTTGCCTACAAATTTTATCCCCTTCACAATCTTTGTTTTATTTTATCGTATAGTCGCAATTTTCAAGTATTCGAGGTATCCTGGAACTGAAAAACTGGGTGGCGTGCAAATCTTGTAGAGACTACATCGGCCTAGGCGTAGAGCTATTAAGTAAACAGAACCTAAATTAATTTAGTAGCTTCATTTAATTGTTTGTCTGGCTTTTATTTGTCAGTACAGAAAATTGTAAATTAAAATATTACTACAATGCAATACGCGTAGTAATTCATCAGACATCTGCACTAATAAATACTGTACAAGGAAAACTACAGCTTAAATAATAGTAAACGTTCCTTGTTTTGTCAGGAAACATCACAGCTGACTTCGACACAGCTTTTCAGTTTTGTAACTGGCCGAGGCGAAAGTAAATCATGCAGTCGGGAAAACGCACTGATCTGAAAGAAAACGTCTTACTTTGAAAGATTATTTTGCAAAACATACTCGCATACACAAAAATCATAAAAATACAAATGTTGAATTGTTATTGTCAACTGTCAAGTTCAGTTATTTTTAGACAATATGGTGTTAGCCAATCAGAATGCAAAATTGACCGGCCCAGACCAGGGCTTCCTCGTGTCTCGCCTCGTCCTCACACTGAAGCCCTGGGAACGAGGTTGGATTTCAAATTCTCGCATGCAAATAACTTATTGCTTTCTCTTTTATTTAAAAAATTCAATATAATAAAAAACGGAATCAATATTAAAGATACACTGAAATTATATGCTGTCTTGTTTAGTTGTTTCACTGATACGCAAAGGCCGTCGGGATTTAAAGCAATTACATAATCAATATTTAAAACAACCTTACCTTGGTTAACGTCGGCTCCCTTCTTTTAGCAGATTCTTTTGCTCTTTCTTTCTCAGAAAGCTAGCTTTTGAAATTTACAAAATATTGCAAAAATACGAGCAGAAATGAAATATATTTTCAAAAAATTAATCAATCATCAAATCAAGAAATGTTAATTTGCTATTTCGCTGTCGTCATGCAGTCGTTATAATGCAAACTTTAAATTGGACCAACCAGTGTCCGCTATTCATGACAGTCCGCCATATTTTTCAGATCAGTGAGGATGACCACCCACCGAAAAATCGTTGGTGAGCCACGCCCGCGATGATTGATGAACTTTAGACTTCGCTGATGCTTTCGTTTCCCCGGGTGTAAATACCCGGGGGAATTAGTACCCTCGCACGGCGCTTCGCGCCGTCGTCTCGGGGATTAACTGGTATTGTTAGTGAATAAACATTCATCCAGACAAACTTATATAGAGAGATCAGTGATGAACAGGTCATGTGACCCCCAACCACGTTGTTGTACCATACTTCTGTAAAGCAAAGTATTAAAAGAGAAACTGTAACTCGTCTTATTGTTTATTTATATTCCACTGTCATGACTAATAACGTAACAGGTTATGGGCCCAGTAACAGCCGATTGATATTCGACGGTGACGAACGGAGGTACGAATTATGGGAGGTCAAATTTCTTGGATATCTACGATTGAAAAAGTTGAGTGAAACCATTCTCACGCCATTGGCGGACGATGCCAGTCAAGAAGTTATAGCAGCTGATTCAATAAAAAACATGGATGCATTCGCCGAGTTAATACAATTCTTAGATGATAGAAGTCTATCTCTGGTCATTCGAGATGCGGCAAACGACGGCCGAAAAGCTTTGGGAATTCTACGGGAGCACTATTTGTCAAAAGGAAAACCACGTGTTATATCATTGTACACCGAGTTAACTTCGTTAAAAAAATCAGCTGACGAAGATATCACCGACTATATGCTGAGAGCAGAGACATCAGCTACTTCACTTAAATCGGCAGGAGAACAGGTCAGCGATAGCTTACTGATTGCTATGATTATAAAGGGACTACCTTCTGCAGAATACAAGCCTTTTTCAACGGTAGTGACACAAAAGGACAAAGAACTATCTTTCAGTGAATTCAAAGTTTCACTGCGAAGCTTTGAAGAGACACAAAAACTATCCACTGAGTGTGCCAAAGAGGACAGCGTCATGAAAGTTAATACTGGGAAACCATCATACAAATCGAAGAAAGATCTAATTTGCTATGGATGCGGAAAGGCAGGACATAAAAAATCGGAATGTCGTGTAAAGAAGCGCTGGTGTGACACGTGCAAGAATCATACTCACGATACTGAGAAATGTCGCAAGAAGAAGCAAGAAGATGATGCAACAAAAGCAGTAAGAGACACTAATATAAATAATAATAGTGTGCATGAAGAAAATCATTAATTTGTATTTCAAGTAGGAGTAGATGTAACTAATATAGATAATGTAAATGGGTTGCTTGTGGACTGTGGGGCCACCACCCATATTGTGCATGATATTAGTAAGTTTATAAATTTTGATAAACAGTTTAGTCCTGAGCATCATTATATTGAGTTGGCGGATGGTAGTAGGTCTAATAATGTTGCGTTGAAAAGGGGAGATGCAAATGTTGAGTTGTGTGATGTAGATGGAAATGTGCAAAAGGCTCTTCTCAGAAATGCCCTGTATATGTCCCCTCTTACAAACAGGACATATTCTCTGTTCGGGCTGCAACTAGTAGAGGTTCCACGGTAAGTTTTTCACCCAATAATGCCAAACTTATAAGTCCAAATGGCACAGAATTTAAGATAGAGCAGAACGGTAAGTTGTACTATTTAAACAGTGTGGTTTCATCCAGTTTGTCTAGGCAACAAGGTAAGTCTAAGTCGTTGAAAGATTGGCACGAGATACTAGGCCACTGCAATTTAAGTAATGTGTTAGCCTTAGAAAATGTTGTAGATGGGATGAAAATAACAGGTAAGAAAGAATTTGACTGTGGGGTATGTGTTATGGGGAAAATGACCCAACCCAGAAATTGAAAACCCGATAGACGTGCAACAAAGATACTAGAATTAGTACATTGTGACCTAGCGGGACCAGTTGACTCCATTGCTAAAGAAGGTTTTAGATATGCCCTTGCCTTTGTTGATGATTATTCAGGTATAGTCATGATTTACTTTATACGGCACAAGAGTGACACTCTGAAGGCTACTGAAACATTCTTAGCTGACTCAAGTCCATACGGTAAGATTAAATGTATAAGAAGTGACAACGGAACCGAGTTTACCTCGGAAGCCTTTGAAAATCTTTTGATCAAACACTGCATAAAACATGAAAAGTCAGCCCCTTATTCGCCACATCAAAACGGCACAGTTGAAAGAGTCTGGAGATCTATTTTTGATATGGCTAAATGCCTACTTATTGAGGCCAAATTACCTAAAACACTCTGGACGTATGCAGTTATGGCTGCAGTGTACATACGAAATCGTTGTTACAACCATAGACTTAAGAAAACACCTTATGAAGTATTTACCAGTCAAAAACCCAATTTGCAAAATATGCATGTTTTTGGCACAGTGTGCTACACGTATGTGCAGGAAAAGAAGAAATTGGACCCAAGAGGGGAAGAAGGAATTTTCGTAGGGTATGATAAGGGAAGCCCAGCCTACCTTATATATTTTCCAGAAACAGGATCAATTAAGAGAATCCGTTGTGTTCGTTTCACTGATAAATTTGTAAATGACAAGAATACAGAAGAAAGCCCTCAATTAAATATTGAGGACGAAATGATTGTTAGCTTGCCATCTTGTCCATCAGATCCCCAACCGACAAATGAAAATGAGAATCATGTAGTTCCCCCAAATCCAGTAAGTGATTTAAATAATGATATTGGTGATCCATTAATGATAAGGGTGGGAATGTCCAATTACCAGAAACTAGGTACCCTAGTCGTAACCGGGCAAAGCCAAAGTATTTAGAGCAATATGTTGATGGTGACGAAGTCGATGAAAACAACCACATCAATTTCACAGTTGATTACTGCTGTAATATATCAGATGTACCGAAAACGTACCAGGAGGCGATATCCTCGCCTCATTTTCATGAATGGCAAAAGGCCATGGAGGATGAAATGTATGCATTAAGGGAAAATGACACATTTGAACTTACCACAAAGCCTGAAAATAGAAATACAGTGGGGGGGAAGATGGGTTTATGCCATTAAAACTGACCCTAATGGGGAAGAGAAGTACAAAGCCCGCTTTGTAGCCAAGGGATATTCGCAAATACCAGGTGTTGATTATCATGAAACCTTCTCACCCACTGCAAGAATGACATCTATTAGAATCCTAATGCAATTAGCGGTGCAATACAATCTGACAATACATCAAATGGATGTGAAAACAGCATATCTGAACGCACCTATTGACTGTGAGTTATATGTTGAACAACCTGAAGGTTTCACTATGACAGGAAAAGATGGTGAGTATCTTGTTTACAAACTTAGAAGATCCTTATATGGACTGAAGCAAAGTGGTCGTAACTGGAATAGTGTGCTACATTCCCATTTAGTTAGTGAGGGGTTTATTCAGTCACAATCAGATAGTTGTGTTTACACCAAAGTTTCAGGTAAGTCGATGACCATTGTGATAATTTGGGTTGATGATATAATAATTGCATCAAATTGCACAGTTACGCTAACGAATGTGAAAGGTAATCTAGGTAAGAGATTTCAAATGAAAGATATGGGAAAATTATCATGGTTTTTAGGCGTAGAATTTATATGTGAAGAGGGAGTAATTAAGATGAACCAAACAAAATACATTAAAAGACTATTGTCGAAATTCAGTATGGAAAATTGCAAACCCAAATCCACTCCATGTGAGATGAACTCACATAAGGTAAGTGAGGAAAATTCAGTGCCAACTGATAACAGATTGTACAGAGAGATCATAGGCAGTCTTGTTTACATAATGACTGCAACTAGGCCAGATCTTTGTTATAGTGTAACGAAACTTTCACAATATTTGTCAGCACCAACCATGAGTCACATAAACACTGCAAAGCATGTATTGAGATATGTCAAGGGCACAGCTAACAGAAGTCTAATCTTCAGGAAAGCTGATGAGCCACTGCACTTAGTTGGTAGTTGTGATGCTGATTGGGGTGCGTCAGAAGATAGACGCAGTATAACCGGGTACGGTTTCCACCTTTGTAGCAAAGGTCCTTTGATTTCCTGGAAGAATAGAAAGCAACCTACAGTTGCTTTATCCATATGTGAAGCTGAATATATGTCTTTAGCTTCAGCTGTTCAGGAAGGTAAGTTTCTTTCTCAGCTGTTGGAGGATATGGTTAAAATTAAGTTTACTCCAGTGACACTTCACTGTGACAATCAGGGAGCTTTAGCCTTGGCAATAAACCCTGTTCAGCACCAAAGATCAAAACATATTGATATACGTTATCACTTCGTAAGATCGGAAGTTCAGAGAGGTCTCCTTCATTTATTGTATGTAACATCAAAAGATAACTTAGCTGATATATTTACCAAACCAATATCAGGACCGAGAATAATAAAAACTTTTGTTCCTATTATACTAGGAGTATAAACTCGATTTAGTGTAATGTTGTTGATATTTATACTATATATATAAAACTAACTGTTCTATGTTTAAGTGGGGGTATTAGTGAATAAACATTCATCCAGACAAACTTATAAGAGAGATCAGTGATG